GCCGCGACTGGAATCGCATGAAGTATGCCTTAGGCCTAAGAGTTTGGAAGCTGTCACTGATAGGTTTTTTGGAAACTATTGTCCCCGAGGGTACGAACTCTGCGCTTGCGAAAACATGCAAGCACACCCTGCACCATAAATTTGCGATTAGAGAAATGACGTTATATGGCGATTGGGGAGGTGAACGCAGATATCTGTAACAAATCTCGCACTTCCACAAGTACAGATGCGTGCTAGCTGTTCGCGCAGATGAGATTATTGGCAAATATAGTTCGCTACTCTTAAAGTACGGATTGCGCTATTGTGATTCTTGATATGAGTGAATTATTTTTCCAAGCGAGCAACATATCCTACCATATCATCTGGTTCAGGAATCAATGAAGATAAATCTTGTTTGTATAGGTAGTTTCCGACCTAAACATCCACGATGGCATCCATCGAAATTATGCGTAAGAGAACGCACCTCTACAGCAATTTGCACAGATATCTCGCGTATGTTCTTCAGACGCGGATAGATTCGAGAGTATTTGTTAAGCGACTTTTCCGTCACCAGACTTGCAACTTTCTGTAATGGATCGCCTTCGCTGTAAATTTTGAAATATTTCAAATAAAAGGTCACCCTGGCCGCTAGGAGGAAGATTGTATCCGGTATGTGTTTCGCTTTGAACAGTATACATCCTAGCCCAACTCCAGGGAATATGTATGCGTTGTTTCCCTGACCAGGTTTGTAGACCTTTCCGTTCATTTCTACATTCTCAAAAGGCGACCCCGAAGCAAACAGTACTTTTCCCTGAATGCCTGAGTTTGTTGTTTACGTAATAGTCTGTGGATAAACACTCACATCTGTGTATTTGTATGCCTCTTCTGCTGTGCATTCCGAGTTTTTCGTTGGGTTTGAGAGGGCAAAAATAACTGGTCGCTCGCTGTGCTTGGCCATCTCCTCGATAACTTCTCGGGTAAACGCACCACCTTTGGTTGAAGCCCCTGGAAAGATCATTATTGGGTTTGCAATAACAGTGGCGACGAGTAAGTCTCGAAAAACTGGTCGCAGTTGTCATCTAATTTGCGGGTATCTTTTCCTCTATGCGGGATTGTCCTACCTATGAGAGCTTGTGGTTTTGCCATCTGTATTGCTTTCAGCAAGTCTTTTGTGTTTGGAAGATCCTAAAGACTCAAAATCCTATATAGAAAACTTGGAGAAATTACAAGACTTTGGCAAAACGTTTGTGGCGAGGCGATATATCCGAACGGCTGGTGGTTATAAGTCCATCAATGTCGAACAAGAATATATTCGAGCAGGCTTCCTTTTCTGAGATTCCTTCATCAACCATCTGACGAATGCACAGCTCGGCTACTCCAGTGTTTGCCTCAAACAACTTCTTTATCATAAAGTCTGGAAAATGCGAACAAGTATACAGGCGAAAGGCGCTTTATTTCTTTGTTTTTTCTTTTTCTAGCTTGGATCTCAAAAAATTGTCTCCATATCTGTGTACCTCAGGTTTTTGGGAAACGTAAAGGGAAATTTCGCTGTTTGATGAAGACGCGGCTCTGGTCGAATGTGTTGTGGGGCATTTATTATGTTCCTTAGGTCTCTGTTAGCTCATCTCTTGTTTTTATTGGCGCAATCTTCTACTACTCTTAAACAGTGAGTTATGATAAACTCACTCCTCCAGCACCGAAGAAGAAAATCTTATATTCAGCTAGTTTCTTTTTGGTCACTCTCAAAGTGGTGAGTAGACCAGCGAGGACAATGGCTGCCGTCCCTGCAACGGTTAGTTTCTCTTTTCTGTAAGCCCTAGACCGATCACTCTCCACCTTGAATATCGTCATTGAAAGTGCAGTAATGATCCTTGTATTTGTCCAGTAAACGATAAGCGTTTGCGTTTCCAAAATCTTCAAACTGAATAAGTGTGTCGCGTCCGAATCTGGAATCAAAATAAAGATTACTCTAAATCGGAAAGCAAACGGAAAGAGGTTTGAATAAAGCTTCTTCCAGACCTTTTAACAACCGCTTTCAAAAAATTATCCACTAGTGTGTCGTATGCCTCTCCGCGTGTTCGCTTTCTTCTTAGCCCCGTGTAGAAGGGGTCTTCGAGCAACGTCTTAAAAAATAGATTGTTTCCAATTCTGAACAAGATCTAGTATGTATTGGGGAATTCGTCCATTAACACCGATCTGTCTCTTTTGCGGTTGTGCTCGACACTGCAACACAGTGTGCTTACCGTAATTACCCTCAGATCTACTAGCCCATAAATTGCGACGTACCCGACTCAACATTAGCGGTTAGAAAGCGAGCGCTCCACCCGCGACGCAGCCTGTGTCCCTTCGCGAGCGTGCACTCCAATCATCTAGCCGCCTTCATTAGGCCTCGAAGTCCCGCCTTCCAGCCGCCAATCCCGTTG